TGCTAAACAGTGTAATTATTAGTCACCTCGACGAATATCGGCTTTGTGTTTGCTTATGTAATTCAATTTTATAATTAAAATGCCAGCTGGCTGCCGCGTCTGTCATCAAGGCAATGGATGAACGAACGACTGAACTGAACTCCCCCTTCTGTGCTGCCCTTGCCGAGAGTATCGCCTGTTGTGCTTTAGAAGCTGACATTACTTCAAGTCCACTCAATTATGCTCAAATTTATGCATGAATGCTTAAGCAAGGGCCTGGTCTCTCGCTTTTTCGTTTTTTCGCTGTTCACTTTTCAGTTTTGAGTTTTGAGTTTTCAGTTTTCAGTTTTTGGCTTTCGGTTTGGGTTTGCCTCAGAACAGCCACAGCAACAGCTACAGCAACAACATCAACAATAATAATAATAATCATAAAAATAACAACATTAAAATGTGTGTAGCGATAAATTATGCTCAGTCACGTCTCGCATTCATATGGAGCAAGAGTCGCTTCCTCTAATGTTGACCTCCATTTAATGTTTTGTGTTTCCTATGCTCATGTTGTTTACTATATATATACATTTTTTGCGCAGCTCTTATACAAAAACAAGAAAGTAAACTGTAAAATAAAAATCACTTGTGTTGAACTCCAACTCTGGAGCAATAGGCAGAAAAGTGAGAGCCAGAGAGAAGGAAAGTTCTTTGTGCTTATTAATTAATTAACTATTTATGTAATTGTCTATCTATCAATATCTGTATGGGCAAGTGAGTAGCAACCAAAATTTTCTTGATATATCTATCTATCTATATATCTATTAGCTATCAGTCCATCCATCTATTTCTCTATTTATCATATTTATCAAAGTATACGTCCCTAATGAAGACGTCGAGAGCGAGAAGAACTTCAGTCAATTGATACATCAGAGTGCATTCACAGCAAAAGCAAAACAAAACACTCACCACATCACGTATACGCCATGCGGACGAACGAGTTTTAGAGGCAAAACAGAGATGAGTCTGGTGGAATTACGAATACCCTGCAATGCTTCTTTGGTGCAAGCATTCAACTCTTTCTCTGACAATGAAACTGCCTGGAACAGCACACACTTGATTACATACATACTCGTGTCCATTAAACTTGGCCCAGCCAGCTAAACGCCACCCGTCCCACTCATCTGTTCCTCCTCCTCCTCCTACCGCTGTTTCTGTGTAACCAACTGGTCCGTGGCCACTTTGTAAGCTCTGCTCCCATAAGCCAAAGCCAAAGTCAAAGTGGTTTTACTTTGCGAACCGGTTTCTCTTCCATCAAAGCGCGCGTCTCTGTTTGTGTGTGCGTGTGTGTGTGTGATAGCTATTTTCCGTGCTGCTGTCTTATACTACACTTTCTTAACTGCGCTGCATTCACTCAGCTTTATACCCCACAATTTGTAGACTTGTTTTCCTAACTGAATCGAAGAGGCGCAGCAACAGCTTTCAGTAATTTATACTCAATTAACGTATATTAATTAATTATAATTTGCTTCTTACGCAATTTGTCAACGAGTTTTCGTTCCTCTTCCTCCCATCAAAGCGCGAAAAAGTCTGACGACTTCTTGCGAACCTTCAATTTGCTCTGGCGCCACCTAACGACGAGCTGCCAATTAAAATGCTAAAAAAAAGGAAACCGAATGCAAATAAAAGCGAAACGCGAATAAAACAACAATACCAACAGCAGGCCAGAGTACTCCAGTCGGGAATGCTCGAATATGACACACTCTTAACTTGTGCTAGCTATGGAAAAATGTTACAGAATTTGTTACTTGTTACTTTCTTACTAATATATTCCTATATTTTAAACTTTACTACTCTTATAAATTGAGAGTGTAAAACTGTTAGAGTTATGCTTTTGTATTCCTTAATACCTTCGCAATCTTGTATTTTGACTCTCGTATCGCCCTATACTATACTTGTATGCAAGATTGTTCTAGAATCATGCTCTACTCTTCTACGCTTGTTATCTTATACACTTTTACTCTTAAACACTTTCCAGACTCTATTCTTCTACTCTCGCCCTTATCTACTGTATATATTTAAGAAAAAAGAACCATATACTCGCTTTAATCATTAAAATTTTTCAATTTCTACTTCTATAACTAAAATAAAGTCGTCTTTGAGCAAGAGCCTGCAATTATTTGTTGTTTTTGCAAAGTTCTTTCAAAGAGAATTTCTCTACTGGAAATTGAGTTTGTTGATTTTTGGCGCGCGATTAGAGCAGTTGAATAAATTTTTGATTTGCGAATTGGAGGAGTAGAGTAAACTATTTACATATTTCTCTAAAATGAATGGCCACGATCTGTGTGTGTGCAGCCCACATCAATTTGCATTTGAATAGTTGGCCATAAATCAGATTGATTAATGGAATGTCTTGTTTATATGCTTAGTTCGGCACTTGTTAATGTCCGCTGCCTGGCTACCAGCGAAAATATGTCTAGCTCGACATCAAACATAATTAATTATGTGAGAGTGTTGCCATTTGGCAATCAAACACTGAACTACAAAGTTGGGATTACAACAAAGTGCTGCAGCTGTAATCGAAATTCAAGTCAATCTAGAAAATGTTGCTTAAAAGTGGATCATAATTTGATACCCATTTAATAATTTAAATTTCTCGAGATGTATATATAGTATATATAAAAGAAGCTAAAAATATTGCGGAGTTGTTGCCTTGTCAAGTTAGTTTATACCTCTAGTCGACTGGGGCTATTTTATCTTTCGCAGCTGATTATAATGAACATATTATAAGGCAGTTCCATTTTTTGTTGATTCTCGTCTGTGGGTGTTTGCTTCAAAGTCAAGCGTAGAAAACAAAAACAAATCAACGGCTAGATTTGATTGAATTTTCAGCTGTGATTGAACCGCTTGCCAAGTTTGGCTTGATTATATATTAGAATAAGGCTAAAAGCGCGAGAGTGGGCGTCATAGGTTCGTATGCAAATTGTGTTAGCAACTACTTTAGAGAATTATATTAATTATGTGTATATATGCGTATATGTATGTATGTATATAGTCCAGGCCTACATGATATACAGAACGATAGGCAACTGGCTGATTGCGGCTCGCTATCAAGCAACAGAAGGCAACTAGGTCCGACTACAAAGAAATGACTAGCAAACAGAAGAAAACAAAATACAGAAAAGAGCAAAACAAAACAAAACAACTAACAAAAAAAGTCATTGAACGTTTAATAACATCGCCCCAGTTTAGACGACCAGCAACAACAACAACAATGAAATAATAAAAGAAAAAACAACTTTGATTAACATTTCACAGTCAGCCAGCGCTTGAGTAAGCGGCAAGCAGATAAAAATATAGAAAAACGCTGCTGCATAAACATGTGTTGTTTAATGAGCAAATTATAAATGTACATATATATGTATATCATTCTTTATAAGTAGATTTAGTATATACATACATTATATATCTGTATGGCAGCCTCTGAGCGTTGCTTTTGTATTGCTAATTGTTTAATAGCTACTTCAAAAGAACATCTCCAGCATCTGCATGCCAGTGCTGAGCAGCTAGCTTCTTTTGAGGACAAATTTAGCATTTTTTGTAGCTGCCTGATTGATTGCTGATGGTTCTTTATAGCTAGGTCCTTCAACTCTATTTCAATAGCGTAGCTTATCAGTATAGCCTAGTCAGTCATTTTAAAGTCGAATCTGTCCTGTCCCTGCCATATCTTTCATTGCAAGCATTTCACCTTTGTTGGCTCCTCCACCTTCACTTGGCCAAGTTTCTCTCCCTATCTCTGTCTCTCTCTATCTTGCTTTCTCTCTCTCTCTCTCGCTCTCCCTGTGAACATATTTAGCCTTTCGTAACCTGTTCAATTCAGCTGCGTGCATCTCTGTGCTGCAGCGATAATTTTAATAAATCTGAAGCTTAAGAACTTGCCTCTATGAAGTTGGCTTTATGAATGGGCCAGTGCGGAGGTACGGCCATTCAGTTCAATGGCAATCAGCTTTAGAGGAGCTCTGGTATGCAGTAATAATGTAATAGAGAGCAATGTTTGCCTTTGCCTTTGCCGTTGCCGTTGCTGTTGCTGTTGCCTGTTTGGCTTAGCCTTTTGCCTTTGGCCTTCGTGCACTAAAAAGGCGCATTACTCATATATCTGATGCGAAATGCAATTCACTGGACGCTGCTTGCCATGGCAACTGTTTATTGATTGGCAATCCGGAGGACTCAATAAAGCGATGGCCTTTTTGTGCGCGCAACAGGATATCAAGTTAACTGTAAACTGCTCATTTCGAATGTTTCATGATTAAAAAGCTGTTTGTTTTGTGTATGCCTGTCTGTGTGTGTGCGTGTTATTTATTTTATTGTTTTTGCTGTTATGGATACGTTTTATGCATTTTTTCACATACAGACATTGATTACACGTCGCTTTTGCAATATAATTATATATGTGTGGTTATAGGAATATTACGCATACGCAGCGTTGCAATAAATGCATTTATATATTTGCATTCGTCGGATATTAAATTCAGCATATTTACTTTGTACGCATTTTTTGATTACTAGTCGTATGCGTAATGTGTTAAGGCTGTAAATTCGTTTAATGTGTAATACAATATACATAGTAATATTAAATTATATTTTTAGCTGAACGTTAAATTACTGAATAATAGGCATACGTAATAGATTGATATACAACGCAGGTTTAACAATACGTTTTGTTTATTAATCATTTTTACATATTTAATATTAATAGCTTAATTTATTATTAGTATTTAATTTAACACTACAAACATAATTGATTTGTTCTTGTGCGTTAATTTGTAAACGTAAACATATTCATGCTGCATTGTATATAATGAAAAATTTCACTCCGTCCCCATGTCGTATTTAATGTTATTAGGCTTATTAATATTCAATTGACCATAAGGAATACTTAAGTATATTATTAGGTGTACGTATTATTTATTGCTTCTATATGAAAAATGATTTTTAATAGAATTTTGTGCTCCCGTTTCTGTTTCTGCTTGCAGTGCGCTTCGACCGATTTTGATATGGATGATCTCGATGAATGTGATCAGGTGACACAGGTGATTGGCTATCATCCGCGATATCGTGATCATTTTCTGCGCACGCAGAACTTTATTATGAAAGGTGATGGACCCTTGCCCTATGCCTATAGATACTATTTGGCCATAATAGTGAGTAGAACACGAGTATATTGTTTTCATTTGTTTTTCGCCTTAATTGGAGCTTATTGTTTAATCAACTTGCAACAAGCATTGTTGCAGCTGGCTATTATTCTACACATGATGAGTGCTAAACTCTTTTTTGTTTTGCTGCTTTCTGTTCGTTTCGTTTGTTTTGCTTCTAAAAATCAGCCTCTTGTGTGCTTTAGTATTCAGTATTCATCAGCGTGCTGTTCGCTGTTCGCAGTTCGCAGTTCGCAGTTCGCAGTAGCATGTGTAATAGGATGTGGGTGTATCTGTACCTTTGTCTCTGTTTTCTATCCCCCTCTGTGTTCGTGTGTGTGTGTAAGTGTGTGTGTGTGTGTGTATGCAGTGTGCATTGTTGCCTTTGGCAAATTTAAGCACATTAGCTACCGCCGACTGACGCTGTCGGCTCACATTTGCTGCTTGTTGGCTGTTGATGCCCTATCAATGACAGCAGTCTCCTACACACGCACACACCCACCCACCCACTACTCGCACAACAGGTTGAACATTGGGGAATCAACAACAGCAGCAAATTATTTCCACTGTTCTGAGCTCCCTCTGCAGTAACAAAAAAAAAATATATGTATATATGAAAAGAAAAAAAATCAAAATAGAATGACGTAACAGAAATATACTGACTGCCAAATACTGGTTCGCGTCTAAATTTTGCATGTTTTCCTTACAGCCTTACATTTCAGTCAACAAAGTCTCTGGCAGTGGCAGTGTCGAGGAATATACCCGTTTTGGCCCTTGCGAAGGGGTATCGAAAGGCTGTTGGGTCTTAGCTATTTTTGTTGTAGCTGCAACTGCACTGTCACAAGAATAGAAATTCTTGACAATGCGACAGGTGGGGGCGCAGCTGAGCTGACGACAGGTGATACATTGCCTGCTGCCTTCTGTTTGCTGCATGCATGCAGCAACCACACTGCTAAAAACAATAGAACTGCTCGCAACCCAAACAAGTTTCTTAATAACAACTGACAGCATTTCAAATTTCATATTCATGCGAGCATTTGAGGTGTCAGAAAGGATTCTTTGGACCTGCCCCTGGGCCACAGCTAAAATGGAAAATTATGCGTCTCTTGTTTATAGTCGTAAAGGGAAAATAAGATTTCCACAGCACTGCAGTTATAGAAGCTAATAAGAACAGACGGGACTGCAGTAACTAAAGAGGAGTTCACGGATTCACAAGGCGACCTATCTACAAATGCCTCAAGTGAAACTTAGCGTTACTTTGGTTATATTGGGGCTTCTTATTTATGGAGTGTTATTATGAGATATTGTGAATTGCAGAAGACATTATTATAGGGAAATAAAACTCCAGTGTAGAGATTTAGCTGCCCTTAAAAGCTTGACTAATTAAGAGCAGTTAGATCAGGCAATGCAGGGAAATTTAGCTGAAGCCACAACCCATTCTGTTTCCCATAAACGAAACCAAACTCCAGTTGGAAATTGACTTGTATGCATCTATAGAAGGAAAATTACTTAATAAGCAAAACTTTAAGCGGAGCTGCAGCCTCATGTGGCATAAATGAAGCACTTCAATTGTGCATCATAGAAGCAGCTTCAACTAGACTTTTGCGGCCTGATTTATGGTTTGATGGAGCATATGAAAAATTCTTTTTCGTTTCGAATTTGAGCAAAAGTGAGCTCGGAAAATGTTCTTCTGTGGCCAGGCAGAGCTGCTATAAATAATATATATGTGTGTATGTGTGTGAGCCCATTTGGGCAAAGCTTCTTTTTCAGTTGAAGCACTGAAAAGAAAATGTAAAAACAATTGCGGATATTTTATTATTGATGATAACATTTGCAGTCACACATACATTCGTACGCACACACACATGCATACTCGAAAGTGTTTGTTAAGTTCTCAGGCAGAGGCAAAGCCGATTTGGTTCACTCTGAACGAAAGCAAGCAAAGTCAATTCGATTTTACAGTTGGTGTCTAAGGTTGAACTGCAGTCATATTGAATTATATAGAAACTTGCCAATATATACATACATGTATGTATATGTATATATTTATTTATCACAATATATAATGTGGTTATCGTGTGCTTATATCGTTGATATATAGTCTATTATATTGTGCCCAGTTGAATTTTTTTGTTTTGATACAATTGAAATACAATTGGTAAACAGCCAAAGGGGCAGAGCAAATTTATAAATAGAAACAATTTTATGAACAACATCGTAATTAAAATTGATTTATGGCGTATTTAATTTTTCTACTTTTTACTGACTGCAACAACAACAGCAACAACAACAAGAACAACAAAGAGTGAGAATTGTAGACTCGATTGCAAATTAACGCCCACCCACCCAAACACACACTTTCATTCACTCACACATAGGCCATAAATATATATGTACACGCACACACACACTCTCGCAGCCTTTCAGTTATTAAAAGCGATAACTGTAAAGTTCTTCGCAGACCGAGAGAAGCATCTGACCAAATTGTTGCAACAATGAAATTTCCCTTACGTTTTTTGAGCTGCTTGTTATACCCTAGGCGGGTATATCAGTTTTGTGGGAATGTATTCAGCAAGTGAGAAGCTGGAGATATTGGATTAAGGATTGGGTGTTTGGCAGTCTGGCACTCTCGGCTGTAGAATTTTTACATGTTTTTCCTCTTCATTTTTCTTTCCACTGTTAAAAAATGGGATTTACTCATACTGATACACAGCATATGTAAAATGTTTTAACAAAGAATCGAAGGAATGAGGCATTTTTTGTTTCCTTTCGGCTCACCTGGTATTCAGTGCAGAAGGCAATTAATAAATGGATTCTATTTCTTTTATTTCTCAGGAGGTTTGCTTATATTAAATACAACTTTTGTGCCTCTCGCAGAAATCATATGTATAGATTTGTATATGCATGGCAACGGTCGTAAACAAGATTAGATATAAGTATTTTGGTTCTGGGTCTTTGACTTTTTATTTTCCTGCTAATGATAAACAGAGCAACAAATAGGCAAATTCACCACAATATATATCTATTTAGGTTAAAATAGTCAAATTATAAGGTGAAAATAGTGTATGAGAGACGATGATTTAGTGATATCAAATAGTGCTAGAGAAGAGTAAATCCATTTTCTGTGATCGTACAGAGTAGATGTTAAGAATGGTACATCAGGGAAAGACATGTCAATTATACATTTTATAAAGTCTTTTCCGAGACACTTTGTATATTAGAATAGCAATTTAGTGATATATTTATTGAATGGGGTCAACGACTCATTAGTACATTTTGGGGAAAATATATTGTGCGTGGTAAATTTGATGAATATAAAATATTGTGCGACACATTGTGATACGCAAAGCTGAATTAATGACGCAGCAGAAGTAAAAAATATAAAATAAGTGAGTAAAAAACAAAACGTATTTTGGGACTCACGCAGTGGGAAATGTATTTTTAGCACATTTGCAGGTGTGAATGCTCTCCCAGGCACTTTTGATGGGCTTTAACAATAGATTTCATTAGACTGTAAAAGTGCTTGCTTTAGATATATCGTACATATGTCTGTGTTGCAAAGTGCGATTAAATATATATTTTGTTAACTGCATTTATTAATTTTTTGCAGGCTGCTGCACGGCATCAGTGCCCCTACCTGGTGAAGCGGTACGAGAAGGAGTTTATTAATCAGGGCGGCAATAGGGAGTGGCTAAATGGCTTGGATTATATACCCGCCAAATTACGTGCCATATATGAAATAAATAAAATATTAGCCCATCGCCCCTGGCTGCTGCGCAAGGAGCATATTGAGGTAAGGCATCTTTGCACTTAGCACACAGAGATAGAGAAAAATGGGAAGATATATAAATAGTTAATGACTTTTGCATTTGCAGCGCCTGACCAAAGGTAGAAATAGCTGGTCTTTGTCTGAGGTGGTGCATGCGATGGTCTTGCTATCGCATTTCCATTCGCTCTCATCATTTGTGTTCTCCTGCGGTCTCACACAAAAGCTCGATGGTTTGTCTAGTCCCAAATTGAAAGGTGCGCCTGTGTCGATGCAGTCGCAGTCGCAGTCGCAGTCACAGCTGCAGGTGCAGGTGCAGTCGCCGAAGCTTGATGATGCAAGCCAAACCACAGCCAGCCCCATTCACCAGCAGCAGCAGCAGCAGCAGCAACAACAACAGCAGCAGCAGAAGCAACAGCAGGAACAACAGCAACAACAGAAAAACGTTCTAGGGGAGATATCACTGAACAATAGCAGCAGCAGCAGCAGCAGCATTGGCGGCGGCGGCGCTGCTGTTGTGAGCAGTGGCGTTGGCAGCAGCGTCGGCGGCGGTGGCAACAATACAAAGCCAGATTATAATAATACAATGGACAACAACAATGGCAAAAGCAGCGCAGCCAACAACAGTTTCGGCCAACACTATTTGGGTAAGAATACGCACGCATACATGCACACACACACATACACAGTTCGTTATCTTTGCAATGTCGAAGAATAAATACCCTTGCTGATATGCAATCGGAGTGCTGTAAATGAATGGAGCTGCTTGGTAACAGCCAGACAGAGAGACATAATGTCGCCTTCTAAAAGCAAAGCTATCCATTTCTGCATTTACCAAGCAAACTGAGTGCGCAATAGAGAATTCGCTTCCATTTCATATGTATATGGACAGAGACAAGGCAGCGGCAGACTGATGTCTCCTCTTTTACTCTAGTTCTTGCAAAGCGCAGCTTAGCAAGTGCGAGCACTGTTGCCGTTATCCGTTATGCCTCGCAACAAGTTGTTATTCCTGCCTACACTGTCTATTTGTCTCCCTCTATCGCCCACTCAAATGCAAATTTCACTCTTTGGCTTGCAATTGGCGCTTAATAACGCGAGCACTGTCTGTCTCAGTCGCACCTATGCATATGCCATTGCCATTCGCTAGCAGACAATAAACGCAGCGCAGTCAGCGTAGATCGTCCATCAATATGAGGAGGCTGAGATTAGCCGCAGGAATTGCTGCTGCTTGTGTTGGCAATTTAATTGGATTTAAATTAATTTTAGTTGCTTAAATTTCGCCGAGTGTAATTTGACAAAGACTCATATGTGTACTTATATGCTCGCTTCAATTTGCAGCTACCGCACAGAATCAGCCGCAGCCGCAGCCGCAAATTCATTTTGGTATCTGTGTGGAGGCCGTAATGGAGCGCATGAAGGTGCTCTCGCAGAACCAGGACGAGTGCAGTGAGGCCGAGCTAAGTAATCGCTTTAAGAGCGTTGAGCTGCAGACAGCTGAGCTGGCAGCTGCCACGCCCCCCGAAGCACCAGTCGCCCTTCCGCCCATCATATCGCATTATGTCGACGATGCGGCCTTTACGTACCAGGACTTTGCCCGTCGCGGAGCCGAGAACATAAACACATTTCGTATACAGGACTATTCCTGGGAGGATCACGGCTACTCCCTAGTGGAGGGGTGAGTAACGGCAGATGGTGAGCCTGAAGAATTCCTATATAATACAAGCAATTTCTTCATCGATCAGCTTGTACCATGATGTGGGCACCTTCCTGGACGACAAGTTCCGGGCTGCCTACAACTTGACATATTTCACCATGGGCGGCATTAAGAACGTGGATACATCGAAGTTCCGCCGTGCCATCTGGAACTATATCCAGTGCATATTTGGCATACGCCACGATGACTACGACTACGGCGAAGTCAATCAGGTGAGTGGCGACTCTGCCAATTTTAATGAAGTTCAATTATACTTATTTTGGTTTCTCTCACTCCCCAGCTGCTTGTGCGTCCGCTGAAAATGTTTATAAAGACAGCCTGTTGTTTTCCAGAGCGCATTACCACTAAGGATTACGATAGCGTGCTCGTCGAGCTGCTCGACAGCGAAAAGGTGATTAAAAGAAAACTTTTTACTCGATATGCTCTGCATTCAGTGCATGTGGGTATATTGGTGAAGTCCTATTAAGGCCCGTCCATCCGTTAAAAGTATAAGTGAAGAATAATAAATGCGTATAAGAGTGAAGTATAAGAGTTTGAAGTATATATTGTCTAGAGCAGAGATGTACATAAGCAGGGTCTAGCGGCTGCTTGCTTGTCGGTTAGCCTCAACTAGGGCACTTAAATAATTATTCATTTATATGTTAACTTCTTCTGCTTGCAGGTTCATGTTAATCTAATGATAATGGAAGCCCGCAACCAGGCCGAATTACTCTATGCTTTGCGCGAGATTATGCGCTATATGACTTGATCTCATTAAGTGATTAAAGATATATATATATATATACAAATACATACACATAAAAAGAAAACAAAGTGCATGCATATACCATATTAATATACATATATGTATGTCTGTATACATATTAAAAGTCTGCTCATTCAGAGTTGGCAAAAGGAGTTTTTGTAATTCAAATAGAGAGCGTTTAAAGAACAGTTTAAATTGTTGCAATATCTTCAGTGTGTCTTCAAATCAACTATATAATAAATATAAACCAATTCGTAAATGTCTGCAATTGATTATGATATTAGATGTTCCATAAACTAAATCTGAATAATGTGTAAGATAAATCTGATAAATCAAACTTTCAACTTGCTTAGGAATTTTAAAATTTCGTTTGTTCTTCATCTTCAGTTTCCTTAATGTCCTTAAAACAGCAATCGATCGATGTACATATGTATTATGTTTTGTTAAACATTTTTAGTGAAATAAATACATTTTTATTTTAATTACAAATTTGCTTTACTTTCTCTTTCATTTTAAGTTGTATCGAATTCTAATATATCAATGTGGTGAACTAACTGTTAGAGCTTTTCTTCCAAAGAACTATAAGCATAATATATTTTGATAATATTTAAAAATCAAAAATAAGATATAATATATTTACTGACTGTCATGTGAAATGCACATCTAAAAATGGTTTGGGCATTGAATGTCTAATGAACTCAAATATATATACATATATTTGTATTCTTAATTTCTTATAATCCCAAGGTATGTATTGAGAGGTGTACTAAAAATATATGAATGCATAGCAAAGACTCAAAATATAAATGAAAATAAACGTAAAATATACAAAAATTTGGATATACAATAAAATTAATAATGATAAATCATTAAGAAATGGAGAGCAAATGGATTTAATGAAACAAGCGTTTCATCTTCATTATCATAAAAAAATACGTAAATGAAAATACATATATACATATTTACAGAAAGAACTCTTATATTCTATAATGTATATGGCGATTTATTTGATGGTTGTACTAAACGCTTCAAGAACTATAAAGTGTAAGAAATATTTATAATATATTCATAAGCTAAGGATATAGTTTTGTTTATACCCATTGATGAAAATGGAGCTGCAGGGTATAATGCTTTTTTTAAATATTTTAAATATATATATTTATATATGTGAGAATTGAAGGAAGCCTAATTTGTATATACATATGTTCTTGATCAGGATCAACAGCCGAGACCATGTTGCTCTATACGTCTGCCTGTGTTTCTGTCCGAATGTATGAGTTGATCTCACTTTGTTTCAACTAATCTATATTTCGTTGTCAATGCAGTTCAAAGTACGTTGTGTCTATCAATTTCATCTCTTCACTTTGTTTTGTTAAAGAATCCAAAACGAAGTGGAAATGCTGATCGGCTGTAGCTCCGAGATCGTTTAGTCGGACATTCCCGTCTATTAATTTGCAAAATGAAGAAAAAGTATAAAAATAAGTAAAGTTAATTCTGAAAAATATTTGTAGCAATAATACGAAATCATATAAAATTTATTTAGCTAATAGGTTTCTAGTTTTTATTGTTAGAATAAAGTTTGTAGCTCCTAAAGTCAATTTGACTCCCTGGTAGATGATCAAGGTTTGCTGAATGAATATGTATTGGATAGGCATTTGATGGAGATCAACTTTATCTCATACTGTGTCATACTGTGAAATATATATCTAGTTATATACCAAATGATACAAGATATGTCCATTATTATTTATTTATTGATTTCATGAATATGTAGTTAAGGTAGATGCTTAAGTGTACAGTGGCAAAGGAGTAATCAATTGTTTTAAAAAGGTTTCCTGAAAACGAATACATTAGTAACTTATAGGATCATAGGATTACTTTTACTATTATTATTATTAGGTCCATTAACATTAAGTTAAACGTAGTTTTATGCGAGTTAGAACAAATTGTACATAAAGCTAACGCGCTAAATACCATTCAAAGATGTGATTTTAACAAATATATATATAGAGAAATGCAGACCCTTGCATACAAATGGGAAATACATATATATATATTTGATATAAGATTTTGTATATACGAATACTTCTGCAATTAGCTGATAAGTCCTTCAAAGATTTCATCTTGTTTGCTTCTATTATTTTGCATAAATGGAACGAAAAGTGCAACTCAGAGGTGAAAGATGCTCGTATGTCTAATCAAAACTGTATTTACAAAGCTCAAAATATGCGAGAAGGCTGTAACTAGCTAGGTTAATTATAATAGGATAATCATATTATCTACGTGTACATTGAAGGGGGATATAGTAATATAATTATTATTTTTACTTTTTTTTTTTGCATTGTTTAGAAGCTATATTTCTTTTAATACAAATTTCACCTAATTATTATTTCTTGTAATACAAACTTTAATTAGTGTAAATAAATCTTCGAATATCTGGCCAGTCCTTTTTTCTACTTCTATAATCAAAATCTACAAATCTAATTTAAATAACTGAACTGAATTTGCTTAGTAGTTGGTGCTATTTCACATTTCGCTTGACTGACTTTTCTTTGCTGATTGACTGACTGAGTTTGTGTGGTTGTAATACGCTTGAGTTGGGTAAAATTTGCTGGCAAAGGGTTGTGCGCAATTTTGCTTTATTTATATATACGTATATATTTACATACATATTATAGTCTTAATATATAATATTTAACATTAATTCTCTCGATTGGATAGTACAATACTTTTGCTGGTCTGGGCCAGCTTCTGCTTGAG